TATAAGGATTATAACGTAAGTTTTTTTCCATTTTTATTGTTGCTTTCACTCGTCATTTAGTTTGTCCATCGATTCTTTCTCGTTTAGTTATTCGTTGCATAACGTGCGTCTCTGTAATTTCCCCTAGTTCTCACCGCATACTTCAATTCATCTAATAAACCAATAATCAAGAATCAGAAGTAGTGTGGTTGATCACGATGAACTCCGAATCGATACTTAAGCAAACAAGGACTCGGCTCGGGAACGCAACAATGAGAAGTTTTATTACAAGAGTACTACTGGAGTTTTCGAACAGAGACGGCATTCTTATGTAATATCACATGGCACACTGAAAGAACTCTATTCGTAAACTTATCGTGTAAATTTTCGTCATGGATAACAACTCTAAGGCAGCTAAATCATCATCGTCGCATGAAGATGATCGAAATTCCATGCTAGAGCCGCTCTTAAGCAAAAGAATGGATTCTGTATCACAAACATCAGGGAAACGTTCCCGCAATTAGTATCTTGCAATTCTTTGTCGAGCGCCGCGCGGAGAAAGGCCTTAGCAGAAGCTGCAGCGGCAAAACAAGAAGCGGAATTAGACAGGTTATTGGCTGAAAAAGAACGAGAGAGAATGGAAATGGAGGCGGAAGAAGAGAGAAAGCGCCGGTCTCATTTAGCGAAATTCGTGCATGACAAAGCTGTTCTTGCTGCGAACAAGAAAGCCGCAATAGCTGAAGCTAAGTCGAAGGCCATCGAACAAGCCATAGAGGATGAAGAAGACGAGAAAATCACGTTAGTCACTATTCCAGGTTTTACCAATCCGGTCGATACAAAAAGACAGACACAACCGTGGATAAACACAGAAGAAAATCCACAGGAGACACTAAAAGCACTGGATTGCGTCACAGGAAACACTAATCCCTTTGAAGAATGTTTTAAAGGAAAGGATGATATCTCTCGCCAGCACAGCACTCCCCGAATTAAGGAGGAACATACACCAAAAACCTCACCCAATAGGAACATCTCAGGATATTGGCGTGACAATCGATGATAAATTAAATTTTGAAAAGTACATTGCTAAAATATGTAGAAAAGCGAGGAATACACCCCTCTACGAGCCCGGCTCAGGGAACCCCTTCACACTGACGCCTGGGCCTGTAGGAGAACTTCTAACGATCAATCAAAAACTGGCTGTGAGCTTGGAACGGCAAAATCTTCCAAAGTACCACCCGGAGATATTCGCAGTAGATGTGACCACCCTTGGAAAAGCGCCTTTAGAGCTATGATCAAGGATGCAAACGTGTATTTTGATGAAATTTATCACAAATATGTGTTTGCTTCTAGGAAATATCACGACTGCGACTCAGCACTTCTTAGTCTAACTTAACAATGGAAAAAAGAAATTGATAACAACAAATTGATTGGTCTGGTCTCTATGGACTTTTCCAAGGCTTTTGACACCTTAAATCATGAACTGATTGTTCTGAAATTAAAAGAATTTGGAGCAGATGAAGCAACTATTCCAAAGAGTGAGACTGGGGGATACGCTTTCCAATTGGCAACCTATATGCAATGGTGTACCACAGGGATCCATCCTCGGCCTTTATTATTCAACATCTTCATGAACGATCTTTCATATGTCATCAAGAAGTGCACTCTGTCCACTTACGCTGATGACACTCAAATCTTTTACGCCAACAATCAACTCTCCAAAGTTGAAGAAACAATCAACAATGATCTTATTAGTACTGATATATGGTTTGCACGTAATGGTATGAAGGGGAACAGTTCAAAATACCAGGCTATGGTGTTGGGAAAACACAAAGGAACTGATGAACCAGTGTTTAAGTGTGAGGAGTCACAAATTCCCATATCCAACACAATGGAACTGCTTGGCGTGACAATCGATGATAAATTAAATTTTTGAAAAGTACATTGCTAAAATATGTAGAAAAGTCAGTCAACAAGTCGCCGTGGTAAAAAGGATGCAGAAAATGTTGTCTTTTGAGACTAGAAGGGATCTTTATAAAGCTTTCATTTTACCACACTTTAATTACTGCCCCGAAATGTGGCACTTCTGTAATAAAAAGTCAGCTGACAAGTTAGAGTTGGTGAACAAACATGCGCTCCGTTTTGTTTTTAGAGATAAGTCCTCGCCTAACTTTGTAAGCGTATCGGTCTCTCAAGTCTTCGTGAACAGCGATTAGCGAAAATATTGTCCACTGTCTTTAAGATATTAGCCAGTGATACAGGTCCAAAAAGCTTACGTGATCTTATAACAGTAAGGTGCTCCACTTATAACCTTAGGGGCACCACAATACTGGACCTCCCAAAAGTAAAATCAACAACCTTCGGGTTGAGATCATGGAGATATGCTGCATCGAAATTATGGAATGCTTTACCAGACGAGTCTCGAAAGATACAAACATTTACTACTTTTAAAAATTACTTAAAAACATTAGATTTCACGGGACTCTAGTGCGGTGAGGATCTATCCTTAATTATATTTACTGTTTTTAATGATTACATTTTATACATTTTACTTGGTGACTACATTGTTAAATTCTTACATTTTAATATTAGCTGGTTCTTAATCTTAATTTATTTAAATTCATATACCTTCACAAGGCTTTATAATTTCCTTTTCTCTTTTTATTTCGTGGCGTACCTGTAAACTAGCTTTTAGCTAAGCGTTCTGACCACGTTAAATAAAGTGATTGATTGATTGTCACCAGAAAAGGAGATTAACTACTTAAGAGGCTACACGAAAGGGGATGTGCAGAAGGTTGTGAACAACTTCCGACAGCGACAGTATAGAGATCCAGGCGTTGGCCTTCGAGACATATGGACAGAGCTGGAGAGACGCTTTGGGAATACAGCTGCAATCACAAATGTTCTCGTGCAACGACTTCAAAACACATCCAGATTTGAAAAAGGAGACAGCGACAAGCTACAGAGATTTGCAGACATGTGTGCTGACATAGACAGTCAACTGGACTTCCTTCCAGGCCTCGGGTGCCTAAGCTACCCTTCTGTGATTGGCCCCATCGTAGAGAACCTACCCAAATTCATTCGTTCAAAATGGGAAAAGAGAGTTGTCCAGTACACAGAGGATTACAACGATGCCTACCATGGCTTCAAGGAATTTGCAGCCATTCGCATCCCCAGTCATCCTAGAAGGCAAGCTGATCCTGCAGCAACTCGTTGTCATGGGTAAGAAAGCAAACAACAACAACCACAACAACAACCCTCTTGAATGGGATGACTCGCTCCCGGAGAATATGAATCAACGCTGGCGTCATTGGAGAGATACCCTTCCCAACCTGGAAAATGTGTCCATTCCTCAATGCTACCACCGCAGAGGTTTTGGCACCGTTGAGCGCAGAGAGATACATGCATTTTCAGACGCAAGTAAGGAAGCCATCGGAATCGCTGTCTACCTGCGAGAGGTCGATACTGGAGGAGAAATAAGCATCTTGCTTCTGTACAGACGGTCCAAAATTGCGCCAATCCACTCAACAAGTATACCTAGACTTGAACTGTGCGGTACTAGCCACCCAAGCAGTAGGGATGATTCGCAAGGAACTCGATGTGAAAGTTAACAAAGAAACTTATTACCCGGACTCGAAGGTTGTGCTTGGCTATATACAGAACGAAAGCAGGAGATTCTACGTCTATGTAGCCAACCACGTCCAAACGATTCACAATGCCACGGATCCCAGCCAGTGGAGGTACATAGACACTGCAATCAACCCGGCTGATCTAGCAACCTTGAATCTTTTCGCACTGTTTTCTTTTCTCTGTCTGCAGTTAGCGCCTTTAACTCGGCAGAAAACGCTTCCTTTTGCAGTGCTCTTATCGTGACGTGGCCTGCATGGAACCACCTCTACTAGGGGTACCTCCTTAAGCATCAGCGTGAAGTCAAAAAGAGATTGTCAGCAGGTAATTATTTCCCCGGCGCATTTCTGTATGAAAGATGTGAAGTCCATTTTTCATCTTTTATTCCATAGTTCCTAAAAAATGTCTTTGCCACGACAAGTAGTGATACTGCCGATAATGAAATGCTGCAAAACCTTGAAGCAACCGTTGACCACACAGTCGAAATGAAGTCCACAGACAACGAGACTCCTCTCACAGAATTCTGCGATGCCTCAATGCGGATTGAAGATTGCATCAGTTGCAAGTCATACTACAATAAAAAGAGGATCTTAAAAACAAAGTGATCGACTTGAAAGCGCAGTTGCAGGACAAGAATGAATCTCAGCCACATGAAGAAAGGTTCGTATTGCAGTTTTGTTGTAAGAGCATATAAGAAAAAAGCTATCCATCGAACCCTCTACGCTTTTTTATTATAATTTCTTTAAGAGCACCAGAAGTTACTATTACAGCAGGAAGAAAGTAAGTCACAGAAAAACAAGGAAGAAAAAGAGGAAAATCTAGAGGAAGCCAAAGACCCAAAAGATGAAGATGTAGTCATCCAGGAAGAGCCCTTGATTAGTGACACCGACTCCAATTCACCGTATGAAACCGAGACTGAGACAGAAACTGACACAGAATTGAAGGGAGAAAGTAGCCTCACCTATTTTGCTTTACCTCCAAGTTAGTTGGTATAACTATCATGATCTCTTTTCTGTTCCAAGTTTTGTACCACATTTCTAATATTTTCCTCAACTTTTATACTACTTATCTTTCATTTGTCACCCTAATCAAAGTTGTATGAGACAGAGCTCAGACTCGAGAGAATACTTATATAGAGCCATATATTTTAAGAATAAAATAAACTTCTGGGCCCGGTTGTTCAAAAGAGAGTTAAACTAAACCTGAGGTTAGGGCTAACCGCGGGTTAAATTTCTTAACCGCAGGTTTGTTAACACAGGGTTAAAATAGCGTTTCTCAAAGCGCGGTTAAAGAGCCTGTTAGTTAACCTCGTGTTAGACGTGGCTAACCTGAGGTTAGCAACCCATAATATTCTTTTCGTAAATTGTTGCTATGGTGAGCAAGTTGCGAGCTGAAGAATGGCTTCCCCTGCGGTCTCACGCAAAGCCCGTAAACAAAATTTCAGCGCGTCCAAAATAGCCATCTTAACGGAAAAAGTAGAGGAAAACCTTTCCATTATACAAAGTAAACTTACGAACAGCGTCACAAACCAAAAAAATAATGAAATATGGTGTAAAATCGCGGATGCTGTCAACGCCGCAGGAGTTGCTCGGAGGACGACTACCGAGGTGAGAGAAAAATGGAAAAATTTACACGCACAGGCCAAAAAAGAGTTCACAGAACTGGCCAAAGAACAGAAAAAAACTGGAGGAGGTGAAGCTCCGAAGATGCCGTCGGCGGCAACTGCTAAAATCATTGACCTTTTCAAAGAAACCCCATCATTCACTGGCCTCGAGGGTTTCGAGTCGAAAGGTGAGAATTAACATCCACTGTTGTTTAAAACTTGAACTTCTTATTACCTTAAGAGTGCATAAGTTATTTCATTGTTTACAGGAAACAAGACAAATTTTCGGTTCATAATTTCCGCTACATGAACGGCACCTTCAGAAGTCAACATCTTTATTAGCTTTGATTATCATATTTGTTACACTATTTGTCACGCAACCCACGGCGAGCACAAAAATAACAAATATTCGTAAAACTGCAGAAGCTTTGAGTAAAAGCTTTTAGACTTACCATTTCTTCAAGACTCCCTCAAAGCTTCCTAGAAAGAGACCTGTCTTGAACTGAACAGCCAGTACTTTCAGTGAATTTAGATCAGTCATTTCGGTCATGATTTAATTTGAACCTTTGAACTGATGGCAAGTAATTTTAAACAAGAGGTCACTTTTTTTTACCGTAATATGTGGGGATGTTTTTTTTAAGGCCCTGAAGCAAACCAGCCTACGGAAGTAGCTGCTCAATTGGAAACAATTGAGATGAATGAAGACCTGTTTAAAGAACTCCAAGAAGCTGTGCAGCAAGATGAAGCCAACACCCACGAAATCGATGATGAAGTGGTCAATACACCGAAAGAAGAAAATCATCATAAAAAAAAGAGTAAAAGAAAGACAACACAAGACGACGTTCTTGAGGCCCAGTACAAAGCATTAATTTTAAAGCAGGAAAATCTGAAGCTAAAAAAAGAGGAAATTGGAGTTGGAAGTGTTCCTTTTGGAACAAAGATCATGTTCTATCCCTACTGTGTCTATAAATTTAAGTCCATGAATGTATAAAATGGAGAATTTAAGCATGATTCAAGTTGTAAGTTATATTATGGACATGTGAATAAAGTTGTAATCACATAAAATTTGTATAAAATGGAGAATGCCCATGTTTTATATAATCAAAGATATAATGTGTTATGGGCAAGTAAAGAAATTTATTTACTTCTTAATAATTGATATGTCTGATTGTATAACATTTTATCAGGACAAGCACCCAGATTGAAATACAAAATAAAAGTATATTTATTCAACAACTTGTGCAAATAATTTTCTTAAATAATCAATTACTTTGATTTGAGTTCAACCCATGTATCTTCCTTACAACTTTTGCCACTATGACAATAGTAGGGCATCAGTGTACAGGCAGGCAATAAGCAAAATTTATTGAATGAAAGAGACTGCAACCTTTTTTTTTCCCACTATTGCAGTATTACCTATGAACAATAGAGAAAGTCATATATATATATATATATATATATATATGTACCAATAGCAGTGATCATTTGTGAAAGGTGAATGCAAAAAACATATAGGAGCCACTGAAATAAATTTCAGGTTATTTTGGTCGAGGAGCAGAGGCCGGAAAAAATACAACGTCGTAGCACCCCCACCACACAAAAGGTTTGACAACAGATTCAGATAGCCAAATACCCACAGATCACTTATTCGACATTCGGATCTACAAATTGTGGGTTCAGTGACTTGGTACGCTGCGATTTCTGAAGGGGGTGGGGGGTATTTTGAAGCATCAAAATTCAGCATTTTCGCACAGGGTTAAAACTTTGAAAAATCATATCTTTTTACTTAATCAGGCAAATGGGTTAGTATTTGGCCAACGCGTGTTAATCCATAAGAGCTACAATCTCTGATGTATTTTGTGCCTTTTTTGCGTTGCCATGGAAACGGTTTATAAGGAAACTCTGTCTATGGGGTCTAACGTCAATAATAACGGATGTTTTGACTTCCGCGACAAATATACATTGCCGATGTACTTAGAATGTGCTTACAATTGATATTTACTAATTCTCGAGAACCGTTTGTATAAGATTTTTTACAAATTTGCAGATCAAACCATTCCATTGTCTTGTAACGAATCATGAAAGTTGTCATAATTGCCTCTAAACCCTATTTTCCTATTGTTACCAATTAAAACCTTTGAAAAATCATATCTTAAAGACTAAACATTGTTCAACGATGAAACTATGGACAGTCATGTAACTTTATAAGCTCTTTCATTTTAAAACATTTTTGCGAAATGATCCTTGTTTCCATGGCAATGGTTGCTAAGATGCGTTTTTTGTAAGCAATGCCCCTTTTAAAGAAGATCGAACAGAGATATGGGTTAAATAAAGCAATTTAAGACAAAACTTCATAGAAAAATGAAATAAGTTTTTTTACTGGCTTGAGGAATGCTGAATGACTCCCTTAAACTTTTTCCTCATATGCCTAAAAATACAATCATTTGGCTAAAATGTAATACAGTATCAACACAAACAAATCTTTATAGGTGTTTTTTTTTTCGTGTGTGTCTAGAAATGTTAATCAGAGTGGAGAGTCTTTAGTAAAGATCTTGGATACAAATACATATGTCTTGAAACGGTATTGTTATATTTGACGTTATTATTATCTCTGTGTCTTGAGAGGCTTTGCTTTCTTTCTTGAGTATTGTACCGAAAATTTAATACTAAATTATTGAAATACTTGATTTTTTAGTTGCTTAGATTTTGTAATTTGCGGTAAAGCTCTTAAAGCTTTTACAATCAACTTTTATGAGACTTATTTTTTCCGTAAATCCTCTTAAGTTGATTTCTTATCCATTCCTCCTTTTCATTCCCATGATGCCTTTGATGCATATCCCGTATTGCTTTGCGAGTAGCATCCGCCATTTTAATTGCGGGATCGATTTAATCTTCAAAAGGTAAGAATTATTTGTTTTTTTTGCTTCCCTTTTGCTACTTTTAATCGCGTTAAACACTTATCTTTTTATTGTTGACGTGCTAGGTGTAGGTTAAAAGATTTTTCAGGGTTGATTAGTTGATTATTTTACTGAGCTCATGAACTAAAGAAAATTGTTCTTTATAATCTCTAAGTTCTTTGTGAAAATCGAAAACAACAGTCCTTGTTTTTATAACCAATCCAATATAAACTAAACCATTGATCTTTAAAACATGTATTTGATTATAAATTGTAAAGCAATTACCTTTTTTTAGATATACATATACTGTATATATAGAGAATTTCCCGGTGCGTTTGCTTTAGTAACACTTGAGAACTTTTTGTCGGTAAAATTGTGATAGATAGTTTTCCTCATTTAAAATATTAGATATGGCGGATTCTGAAGATGAGCCACAAGAAGCCAAGAAGGCAAAAGTAGACAGGACTTCCAGGTCCACATATGAAAGTGTAGATTGGTCAATATGTATATTTTGCCAAAAAAAGAAGTGCAAAGGCATAAAAGAGCTTATAAGTGTTGCCAGCTTTGATTCTTGTCAAGCGATTGTAGTGTGCATGGTAAGCGTCCTGCGTTGACCTCATTCATAGGAAGGGCAGAAGAGAACTTTGAATGTAGAGACGATTGCACAACAACTCAGAATGTAAGAGAACTGGCATGGTTTCTGCTCAGGCTGAATAGAAAAAACGTATTGAAGGCCAATGATACCTATGGAGAGCAATCAGTTTCCGGATGGAGTGCATTCAATGCCGAAATGTCTTCCATCACGTTGCCTCGCACCGTCATTGGGTACTGCCTGATGATTGCTGGATCACCAACAGAGTACAGTACCATCTATACGGTACTCAAAACAATGCAAGAAATGTCCAAACATCTCCAGCAGAACACTGCAGTAATCACATTTGATCTGGCAATTTATTCCAAGGCAAAGGAAATCCACTGGCGTTATCCAGAAGAGTTCCAAAACCTGGTGATTCGCTTAGGGGGGTTTCACATTGCACTCAATTATTTGGCCTTGATCGGAAAGATGTTCCAGGAGAGTAGGTTGAAGGATGTGTTTATAGAGTCTGGCCTCTACGGATCGAACTCTACTATGGCACTATTGCAGGGAAAATCGTACAACAGGGGAATTAGAGGACACAAATTGATTATGGAGGCGCTATTGCGTTTGAAATGGGACGCATTTTGCTCCTGGGTTAGTAAAGGAGGAGGTGAAGAAGTTGAAAGCGAAGGAGGTCCGATTCTAAATCTCGTTGACTCTGTCATAGAGCGCTACAGAACAGCAACAACAGCTGAAGAGAAGAAAGAGGCCTATTTGCTGCTTTGTAACACCGCCAACCGTGTTGAGGACTTATTGACGCGGTTTAAACAAGAAACGTCATCGAAACTTTTCAAGTTTTGGGACAAGTACATCGAGATGATTCTCCTTCTCCTCGAGTTCATTCGAGCAGAACAAGAGGGTGACTGGGAGTTACATCTTAAGGTTACAACAAAGATGATTCCTTATTTTTTTGCAATGGATCGCGTGAATTACTCCCAGTGGCTGCCTGTTTATATTATGAATATGCACAATCTGCAAGAAAAAGCTCTGGACGTCTACAACGAGTTCCTTAGAGGGAACCACACTGTCAGCAGGTCAACTTCACAGTCATTTAACCAAGTCTGGACGGACATGGCTCTCGAACAGAGCATTAACCTTGACAGTAAAGCTAAAGGTGGCATAATCGGTATTACGCAAAGGCCAAGCGCTCTCCAGAAATGGTTTTTGACAGCATACGAGAGAACAGCAACCATGACTGCTACCAAAAGAATGATAGATTTGGATGAATCTACAAGAAGTACACACAAGGAATCATCAAAAGTCAGAGTTCAAAGAGACGAAAATGACATCAAGAAGGTCATACACACTCTGCAGACAGTGATGTCTAATCCGTTCGATGAAGATGCGTACAGAGAGGACATTCCACTAATGAACCTTGCTACGGGAGTAGTTATGCTAGAGGAGATATCAGAGCAACTTATTGATGCCCAATGTCTAGGAGAAGCGAGGATGAAGTTATTTGTGAGCAAGCGTTTCAATACCAATGAAGTTGGCTTTTGGGAACCGATGGAAAAGATGAACATAAAAACCTTTGCAAGTTTGTCAAAGAAAGCAAAGGTTAAGTCCGTGGATGAGAAGCTTGTAACAGTAAGCGCGGACAGAAACTTGTTTGGGCGTCTTCTGATAGCTTCACGGTCAAGGGATATCGACTTGAGAGAAGTGTTAAAGTACGAGCTGGACTCTGTCCCTTGCGCACTGGCTCATCCTGATGGATCGTTACGGAAAACTACTAAAAGTGTGTTCCTGGAGATACTCGAGGAACAAGTACTAGCGCTACCCAGACTACCAGTAAATGATAGAATATCAACTGCGTATGTCATAGATGGCATGGCAGTGGTGCAAATGATGAAGAATGCAGGCTCGGCCACATTTGGAGAGCTCGCTAACAAGTACTTCCAGTTGATAACTGCTCATCTCGGAAATAATGGCTGTAATCGTGTGGATGTAGTTTTTGATCGCTATGACAAGGAAGATTCGATCAAGGAAGCAGAGCGTGCTCGAAGGGGAACATCATCAAGCTTTGAGGTGCGAATATCGGGCCCATCCACTCCAGTTCCCAAGAAGTGGCAAAACTTCATCTCCAACCCTGTGAACAAGACCAACCTAAAGGCGTTTCTTGGCAGTATGTGGAAAGAGATGGCAAAGACAAGGCTTGCAGGGGACCAGAAATTAGTGTTGGCAGGGTGTTTCATTCACAGCGATGACACGTTCGCTATCACTCAAAATCAAGAAACTCCTTTGCTTCATTTATCATCCGATCATGAAGAGGCTGACACAAGAATGCTTTTGCACGCAAGTGACTGTTCAAGAGACCACCAAAGGATTGTGGTGCAATCCCCTGATACTGACGTTGCAGCTCTCTGTGTTTATGCATGTAACATGATCAATACCCAGCAGTTATGGTTTCTTACTGGTGTTAAAGACAAACTTCGTTTCCTACCAGTACACCGTCTAGCGGAGAAGCTAGGTGAGGATCTCTGCCGTCTTATTCCCTCGTTCCACGCATTGACAGGATGTGACTCAACTAGCGCGCTGTATCAAATTGGAAAGCGAAAGGCCTGGAAAGCTTTATTACAAACAAAGGATGTGTATGTAGATCTGGCGGGCTTAGGTGACAACGTACCACCACTTCAAAGTGTAGCAAAGACGGCTGAGGCGTTCATAAGCTCTTTGTATGCCATCCCATCAAGAGCTGGTACAACAGCAGATGATGCAAGGTATACTCACGGTAAAATCATTAATTTTATGTAACTTATTAGTTAAAGTGCATGTCAACAGCAAAAGAAATCCTTCCCTCAAAATGCTTTTGTGTTTTCTAGGTACTGGGTGTTCTGTCAGAGAAAACAGAAAAACAATGGACTGCCGCCTACCTCTGACAGTCTCCAGCTGCACATTCAGCGTGCCAATTACCAAGCAATGATTTGGAAGCGATGTCTGCAAGCCTTTCAGCAATTACCACAGCCAATGGGAAATGGGCGGGAGAAGGGCGATGACAGCTCCCTAAAGCCCCTTCTAATGACCAGGGATGCTGCCCCAAAGGGATTAGCAGAGCTCACTGTCTGCAAATGCATAAAGACAGTCTGCAAGTCCGCCTCTTGCATTTGCAGAGTCAATGAATTATCGTGCACAGAGGCTTGTGCTTGCATGGCCTGTGATTGTGAAAATCCTCACACTTGTTTCGATGAATTAGAGTGTCCGAGTGATGACGAGGAGTAGATTGTCAATTAGTTGTAGTAATGCTTTTGAAGTGAAACGCAAATGGAAAAGAGCGTGTAATATCTGATTGCTATTGAACCTATGGCACAGGATCCTGTAGTTTCTTTTGCTTGAATAAAGACATTGGTGACAGTTAAATCTAGAGAATATGCCATTTCTTCAGTTCTACTTTCAGCAAATCACGTTATGTCGGCCACAAAATCAGTGGTAATTACTTTGATTCCATACATAAACTCAGTTAAAAGTAATTAAGGGGGTCATTCAGCATTCCTCAAGCCGGTAAAAAAAAACTTATTTAATTTTTCGATTAACTTTTGTTTTAAATTGCTTTATTTAACCCACATCTCTGTTCGATCTTCTTTAAAAGCGGCATTGCTTACCAAAAATCACATCTTAGCAACCGTTGCCATGGAAACAAGGATCATTTCGCGAAAACGTTGTAAAATGAAAGAGCTTATAAAGTTACATGACTGTCCATAGTTTCATCGTTGAACAATGTTCAGTCTTTAAGATATGATTTTTCAAAGGTTTTAATTGGTAACAATAAGAAAATAGGGTTTAGAGGCAATTATGACAACTTTCATGACTCGTTACAAGACAATGGAATGGTTTGATTTGCAACTTTGTAAAAAATCTTATACAAACGGTTCTCGAGAATTAGTAAATATTAATTGTAAGCACATTCTAAGTACATCGGCAATGTATACTTGTCGCGGAAGTCAAAACATCCGTTATTATTGACGTTAGACCCCATAGACAGAGTTTCCTTATAAACCGTTACCATGGCAACGCAAAAAAGGCACAAAATACATCAGAGGTTGTAGCTCTTATGGATTAACACTCGTTGGCCAAATACAAATACAATTCCCTGATTAAGTAAAAAGATATGATATTTCAAAGTTTTAACCCTGTGCGAAAATGCTGAAATTTGATGATTCAAAATACCCCCCACCCCCTTCAGAAATCGCAGCGTACCAAGTCACTGACCCCACAATTTGTAGATCCGAATGTCGAATAAGTGATCTGTGGGTATTTGGCTATCTGAATCTGTTGTCAAACCTTTTGTGTGGTGGGGGTGCTACGTAACCCATTAGTTGGGCCTCTTTTAGAAATCTGCTCCTCGACTATTTAGTACATTAAATCCTTTCTGGCTCGCTGGTATGTCTACTGATAACTTCAGCGTCTGAGAGTGTCCAAAAAAATCGATATTTGGCTGAGAATTAGTAAAGCTTCCAAAGAAAATTTGAAATTCTAAGGACAATCTCTCAGCCAAGGACATTAACAGCCCACGTACTAGCAAGCTAGAAAGGGGTTGCTTCTTTTTCAACACTCCCATAAATTTTCATCTTGCGCAATCATACACAATACTCTAATGATTTCACTCAGTTCAATTACCATTGTAAACCATCAAATAAGGTGTTTACATTAGACCATGTGTAATATAATTATTTCTTTTCTATAAGATAAGACAGGTTTCCATCACCCCATGCAAGTTGGAAAGTAGTAAAATACAGAGTTCTAACAGCATAAAAAGTGTCTTGTGCAATTGATGGGGGGTAGGAGGGGAAAAAGTGAAACTGTGTCAACATCTTTCACCATCCTAGAAATATTTCCATCAGCATTGGGGGGGAAGGGTGAAATGCAGTGCATTATACATTATCATACATTGCCTTGATCAATATTCTGCAATAGCATATTAGTACAATTATACACAATACCAGTGAAGTAACAATTAATATACAAATAAAGAACCCACAATTTATTTGAGGAAGTTTTGCAGAAAGTTGTGTTCAAATGCCCCACCCAATTTTTTTGTCAGCCACCCTGACCTTCTACACATTGACCAAGCTTTAAAACGTAGACCTTTACTCTGAGCCATTTGCTTGCAAAACTGAACTATTTCCCTTAAAAACCTCCATATTTAGTTTAGCTGGGTAATAACATGATTGCAATTGCATTTTGGTGTCAATAAGGATGAGTAGATTTTTCAAAGACACCAAAATTCCACATGCCTGTAGAGCATGTGCAATTTGTGGTCTTTGAAATAAATACAAGTGTTTACTTACACCAAATTGCATTTGTAATTATGTTACAGAGTAAATTTTTAATGACAACAAAATGGGCAAATGCAATTTGGAGTCTTTGAAAAAAAATATTTTACAAAAATTTACAAGTGCCTATATATTTACACCAAATTACGATTGGAATCAACTCATCACCTATTAATAATTCACATGACAAAGGATCACAGAAAGTCAAGACAGCACACATGTTAAAAATGTCAACCAAAAAATGTTTGACAGATGTGGTCCCTTATTGACAGACCCTGTTGTGGTCCATGGTAGGGATCCACATCTGCCAGCTCTTCTACCTCTTCATCCTCCATAGGCTCGTTTTCTGTTTGCATTGTGTATCTCCTTTTTTATGTTATTCTACCTTTTGTTTTTTGCTTACTCTTATTTTAGTTTACCTCTTGTAGACGTTCTGCAATTGGGAATTTGGCGTGAAGCGAATTCTCTGGTCGATCCATCTTTGCATAAGCTTATTCCAAACCTTCTCCATTTACAGTTGGAGTCCAGGGCTCCTTCTACCCTGCAGAAATACAGATCTGGCTGGCTGAAGTGAACAAGACAACTGTTGTCTATTGAAAACCCTGATTATTGCACACTAATTGGAAGGCGTAAATGTTTCTGATGATGACACAAAAGCCTCTCTTCCAGTTCACTTGGTGCTTGGCAAAGGCGTTATCAAAAAGGCAGCCACTGTTTCACAGTTACAGAAAGAGTTCTACATCCCTCACAAGAGCGTGATTTGCAACTCCGCTGAAACTACAAAGATGCAGATCATCTATGATGCCTCAGCCTGAGCGACACCCAATTCACTGTCACTGAATGACTGTCTGTACCCAGGGCTTGCACTGTAAAACAAACTATAGGACGTTCTAATTCAGCAGAGAGACTACCCAGTTGTCCTGGCAGGAGAGATTAAGAAAGCCTTTTTACAAATCCGAATTCACAAGAGTGAACGTGATGCCTTCCGTTTTCACTGGCAGACAGATTCGGACTCAGAAGTGCGGTTTATGAGAGTGCTCTTTGGTTTTGCCCCTCACCCTTTCTACTAGGCAGGGTTCTTGAATGCCATCTTGATACCTGGGCTGAGAAATACCCGGAGGAGGTAGAGCAGCTATGCCGAAGTTTGTACATAGACGACCTGTTGACAGGCGGTTAAGACATACAGCAAGCAAAAGCATGAAAGGAGGTAACGTGAAAGATTATGAATGATGCCACATTTGAGTTACACAAATGGCAGTCAAATCATGCACAACTGGAAGATGATGCCCAACCTGCACAAGGAGAGGAAATTGCCCAGCCTACTTCACGTAAAAACAGCACCCAGGCCGCATAAAGCAAAGATCAGTGTTACGCAAAACAACAGGTGCTAGTCAAGCCAAGTGAGTCAAAACTATTGGGCTCAAAATGGGACAAATTCGAAGATACTATTGCTGTGCAGTTCCCAAGCACAAGTAGTGCACCAACAAAGCGTGAAGTACTGGCCAAACTGGCAAAAGTGTATGACCCCCTCCGCCTGGCATCCCCCATCACACTGCAAGGGAAGCAAATCTACCATGAAGCCTGCAACTGCAAAGTATCATGGGACAAAGCTATCCCAGAGAATCTGAAAATATGCTGGCAAAGGTGGGAGCAGTCACTTCTTGCGGAAATAACCACACGAAGACCCTTAGCACGTTATCAACAACCAGTGGTCTCTGCTGCACTGCATGTCTTGGCAAACGTCAACTTATGGGGTCGTAGCGGTGTATTCAATTGTACGCCAAGAAGATGGAATCACTCAAACCCTGGTTGCAGCGAAAGCAAGATTAGCCAAGAGAGAACTAACAGTCCACAGGTTGGAGTTTTATCAGTGCCTACATGGTTACCAATTTAGTCATCAGCGTAAGAAACACATTAAAAGAACTACCTGAACCCATGATCCACGGCTAGCTGGACAGCACCGTCGCCCTCCACTGGATTGTAACAAATGACCAGTACCAACAGTTCATCTCTAACCACGTGCAAAAAATAAGACAATACCCCCAGATCCAGTGGAGGCACATGCCCACTACTGATAGACCAGCAGACCTGGTGAGTCAAGGAGGCCAGGTAACCAACTCAGAGCTTTGCTGGAATGGCCCAGTGTGGCTGTGTAATCCTGAAATGTGGCCAGAGAAGCTGGTTCCTGTGAAATCCAAAACTTCAGAAGAAGAGGCAAAAGTCATCAGAGAATTGCTAAGCCTACCAAGTGAGAAACCTGAACTAGAATGGAACGTGTTTGACGAACTCCTTGAATGCCATGATTTACGCCAAGCTCTTCACATCCAAGCTTGGGTGCAACATTTCACTACTCACAGGGTGCACAAGGGACCTCTTACTAGCGAAGACATTCAAGAGACCAAGAACTGGTGGATAAAAAGATTTCTGTCTCAAGATTCGCAGAAGCCACACTTTGAACAGACCAGGCAGGAAATCAATCTCGTTTCAAATGCAGATAGAATTTTCAAATGCCATGGAAGAATTTAAGGAAAATACCCTATGTGCCTGCCAGCAGATGCCATGTTTACAAGAAAACTCGTGCAGAGGATTCATGTTGAAACCTTACATGGGGGTGTGTCCCTTACCATGGCAGCGATTCGTGAACAGTGCTGGATCCTGACCCTGAGACAGCTAGTGAAGTCTGTGCGATCTGCCTGTTGGGCCTGTAAACGTTTCATAGCTTCACCTTTAACAGTGCCACCCCCTGGACCACTACCTACAGACTGTACAAATGGGGGAACAGCCTTTAAAGTTATTGGCACAGATTTTGCTGGTCCTATCAAGTACAAACAATGCAAGAAGAGCGAGGAGAAAGCTTACTTGGCTATATCACATGTAGCCTCTCCAGAGCCATACGCCTGGAAATGCTGTCCAGTCTAGAGACAAGCAGTTTCATTACCTGTCTTATGTGCCTCGTCGCTCACTGTGGCAGACCACGTGTTATCTACTCGGACAATGGAGGCACCTTTATCAAGGCTGTGAAATGGCTTTGCTAATTGCAAGGAGATGAGCACCTCCAAGGTCTCCTTGAAGATTACAACATCACCTGGAGATTTAACTTAAGCAAGGCTCCTTGGTGTGGAGGACAATTCGAGCGGTTGATTGGAGTCATAAAGTCTGCCATGTACAAATTTATTGGGGGAGGTATACTCACCTGGACTGAGCTAAGCAAAGTACTGTTCAAAGTGGAAACAAAAATCAATCGACGCCCATTAAGTTATCTAATAGATGATGTTGAGCTACCAACACTTACACCATCAACATTCCTGTTCCAGCGAACCAGTCAGTTGCCAGAAGAGAAAACATGGAGGATTGAGAAACTGGACCAACACAAACGCACTAAATACCTCATGAACTGCAAGAACAGTCTCTGGAGACGGTGGCAGAGAGAATATTTAATAGCTTTAAAGGAGTGGCACAACCTGACACACAAGGCCGCCAAACTTCAGCCAAACGTTGCATATGTTGTAATTATAAAGACCAAAAGCAAGAATTGTAGGAGTTGGCCACCGGCAATAGTGAACAAAACGTATCTCGCGAAGGACAGAATCATCCACGCAGTTCAAATCAAAACAGCAAACGGCATGCTAGAAAGGCCTGTTCAGCACCTGTACCCTCTTGAGCTAAACTCTAATCAGGCTTGGGAAACACAAGCAGGCACTCCCACAGCAGATTTGAACCCAAATGCACTAGTGTTCAGGCTGAGACGGGATGCTGCAGTTGCTGCCAGAGCCCAGATCCAGCACCTTGCTGAGGATGAACAATGAATTACAATTCCTTTTTCACTGAACCTCAAAATTGTGAACTTGATTTAAATGTTTGATTTATGAAGAACTTTTTCATTTAGTTTGAATTCGTTAAGCCTCTTAAGGGAATGCACCCTTGCACGCAATGCTGCATGGGGGAGTGTGTCAGAGACTTTGATTCATGCATGACACATGTCAGATGATGAGTGTGACCATTATGTCAAGAGCTAGAAGCACCACCTGTAGTGATTTTGGGACAATGATCAGTTTACATGGTCAATGCAGCCTTGAATGACCTTTTAAATCAGTACTTGGCAACCACCATCACAATGTAGACAATATTGCATAAGAGAGTGATTTCCTACTAATTTGGCTCGGTAGCTTTTTACACACCCGTTGTACATAAGCAAATACGAGAGTAGAATAAAACAGTTTGATTGAGTCTAGCTCGTTAGAATTCTATCCCTTATAAACAGGGCAAAGTTTACGAAAATGCACCTCCACGTCGGTACTTTTGTTCATCATTACAAGTAAAATTTTAGGTAAAAATAAGTGTTAATGGTCTTTCTGGAAAAATTGGTTCTCATGGAAGTTAGCCGCTAAGTTTATACTCGTAATTTCAATTTTCTTTCATACGATAGTTTCCACACCAACTTTGCAGAGATAAGCAGAAACTTTTAATTGGTTTTCCACGTCTATTTCCTAAGCTGCTCTATTGTCATTAAGATAGGTATATTTTCTATACCAGAGCTGTAAATTCACACCTAAGTTTCCTATTTTTAATGGCCTTGAGTTTATTGTATCCGTCCTTAAATTTTGAGATTCTTTTTTCATCGTAGAAACAGATGGAATATTTAAGTAGTTTCGTTTAACTTCGAAGAGACTTTTTTCCGCTCCTTTGTGTCCTTATTCAAATTTCGAGATTTGTGTAACAATAGCACCTCACACCAGTTTGTTCTTAAGCAAGTACCTTGTACAGCTTTTAGGATTACTAGTGTTAGAGTGCTCTACCAATAAAGTCTATTGTGGAACCAAAATGCTGTCTCATCCTTGATGTCCATATAAGCTTGCTCGAAGTAGATCTCTGTATGCCAGGAAATCGTGATAAGTTTCCGTTCTTGTAAGCCGAGTGGTCTCTACCGAGTTAATTTCTCCCGTTTTGTACATTCCTGCAAAGTCCAGTTGAGTGCACGAAAACTTATTGCCACAATGGAGACCAACACACTACAATAACTTATTGGGATGTTAAGAGTCTAGACAAAGAGCAGTTTGTTTCATCCCTTCATGAAGCCCTCTGGGACTGTGCCTTTTTATTTGAGGATCCTAATGATGTAGTTAACACCTGGTATAAATTAAATGGTATTACTAATAAGCACCTCCCTTTGAAGCAAAAGAGAGTTCAGTGTAAAGTCCAACCAAAGTGGTTCAGTTAGCCATTTTTGCATGCATTAGTTTTTAGTTTTTTTACGCATATATAAATTTAGTCTTCTCTGTTCAGGGCCTTTTCTTTTCGGTAGTCGCGCTAGTCACAGTTTGCTTTCAAGCAATTCCTTTATTCTTCATCTCGTCTTCAGACTGTTTTTTCGTCAAATGTAGTTTTGCAGTAATCGTAACAACGTAAGTATTGTCGTTTCAAGTGGTGTATTTCTTTCTCATCACCTTTACTCGATCAATTGTTGTAATGTTGTATTTATCTATTATTTTTAAGTTTCAACCCACATCGTTCACCATCAATAAATGGCCTATTTTATCAGTAATTGTGGTGTTGAGAAGTTACAATCGCTGCAGTCACATATCGTTGTCATGGCATGAATGCTTCATTCGGATACGCCACCAAGCCAGATTCGCGGCAAGTGTTAACCCGCGTGAGAAGACCGAATGTTATCCTGGATTTAGAAGGAGTCTACTTGGAGAGACTTCCAGCAAAGAAGAACAAAGGGTCTGGTTTGGCATCCAATGTTACCGTTCGGATTAAAGAGATCACCGGTTTGCTCAATGACAATCAGAATCTTCAGACAGTTAAGGAGAAACATGTTCATGTGGTTGCCGCCTTTGACAAATTAAAGGAAGCTCACTTTGACTACTGGTCCAAAGTAAAAGATGCTGGTGGTATCACGGAGTGCTGTGATTACCTTTCAAGGCATGTAGATAACTTTGGTGCTTTTTGGCACCAAATAGATGACTGGATTGTCGTCGCTGAGCAAAGGCTTTTGTCAGCTGGGCTTCAAGCAGACTCCAAAATTAAACCTGAAGACTCTGCGAGCTCCATCAGCTCCCATGCCCATTCAGGTACCTTGAAGCACTCGAAAAGCTCAAGACGTGTGAGTTCTTGTCAAAGCCGCACAAATTCTGTCAAGGCAGCGAGACTGGAGGAGGCGGTAAGGTTTGCAGAATTGGATGCCAAGAAGGTCGTGCTTAGGAAACAGCAGGTTCTAGGGGAAAAGAAGTTTTGCTTGAGTCAAGAGGCTCGTTTGAACTTGCCAAAAGTGCAGCCAAGGGGCAGGCTTTAGCTGCGATGGTTATTCCACCCACTCAACTGCCTTTGCATCCCCCTATGGTGAAGCTGAAGCATGAGAGTGGTAAAGTTGACAATCCATTAGTGGCAAGAGAACTAAGGTATTCCGAACGCCCTGCAGGTAAGTGTTCCACGCAAATTCCCAATGGCCAACCAAACGACTGTTCAGATTACTCCAATGCTGATGACAACCTTCAAGAAGAAGCAATAGCATTGCAGCGACAGCAGACCACCCTACAGATCCAACCAAATCGTATTGTTGAGTTGCTGGCTGTCAGCCAGAATATAAACAAGTTTCCCCAGGAAAGGTAGCTTAATGAAAGGTCGCTTAATGAAAGTGCATATCTCAGCATATTTGTTGACAAAGATGACAACCCTGTCAACCCTTCTGTATTTCGAGTGATTGATGCCAAATGGGGCCCTCACACAGTTGATTGGTTTGCGTCGCATTACAACGCCCAGGTTCCTAGGTTCAACTCTAAATTTGCCTCCCCAGGCTGCAGCAGCGTTGACGCCTTGTCCCTGGATTGGTGAGACAAGAAAAATTGGGTCTGCTCTCCTGTGAGTGCCATTGTCCCTTCTGTTACAGCTCTCTCATCATGCTCTGGTTATGGCACTTTAATTGTCCCACGTGGCCTCCGGCCTATTTTTCGCCCTTTTTGCATAACAGCTCTTCTCAGATCAAGTCTTTTTTTAAGGGAGTGTTTGAGCTTCCTTGTGTAGAAGACCTCTTGTTGGAAGGTCCCGGCCAGAGTCAAATTCACAAGATGTGTCCCTCGGTTTTCAGTGGTTGCCCAAGATTCAGAATGTTAGCCTTACAGGTAGATTTTAGGTGAGCTTTTGTCATCCTTGTTTACCATGCACGTCTCTTTTCTTTCAGCTCTACTCCTAACCTTGTCATTGCTGATCTTTCGGTCTAACCTCATTGTGTTTTCCCTGATTTGGCAGTGTCGTTTTGGTCAGTAGTTTGACCTCCTTTTGTTTTGAACCTTTTACCTGATTTGGCAACGTTGCTTTGACCATGCGTGTTCTGGGCTAAATTGTTTTTACGCCACGTTTGCTATTTTATTGTGTTTTTCCTGATTTGGCAGTATCTCTTGTGCCGTTTTGATGGTTTTTGTGGCATCTCGTTTTCTGTTTGCATTGTGTATCTTCTTTTTTATGTTATTCTACCTTTTGTTTTTTCTTATTTTAGTTTATCTCTTGTAGATGTTCTGCAATTGGGAATTTGGCGTGAAGCAAATTCTCTGGTCGATCCATCTTTGCGTAAGCTTATTCCAAACCTTCTCCATTTACAGTTGGAGTCCAGGGCTCCTTCTGCCCTGCAGAAATACAGATCTGGCTGGCTGAAGTGGCGTCAATGGGCAGCTTCTAAGGAGTATTTTCATGCTACTAAAGACATTTCATACATGACGCGTAGAGAGGAATTTAGGAAATACGTTAAGCCATTTGTTGATGACATCGCCAGTTACGGCACGCATAGTGTCAAGTCTGGCGCTGCTTCAAATCCCGCGTGCAGGAGTATTTTTGCGGATCTGCTGGACATGCATACCAGCTGGGAATGTACCATTTCAAAGGAAAGATACATTAACCACACTGTTAATGATCGCTTAAAAGTTGCTTGATTTATTGCTCTTTAGTTTCGGATTTTGTTTGCTTATGATAAATTATTTAATTATAAGTCTCAGCGGGGGACTAAGTTGTGCCTGGCATGCCCCAGATTTCCTATCTGTTTTTGCCATAGAGTTTTTTAGGGTAGGTTTTTTCTGGCTCCCCTGGCACGGCCTTCTCTAGTTTACATTTTCAGTTTCTCTTTTTGTAGACGTTATTAGTATCTGCTTTAATAAAGTGGCGTTATGGCATTACACTCAGGCCATAATTCAAGTCATCACTCACACAGTAGTGCTGTATGGAATCGTTAATGAGACTTGGGGTTGAAAGAACAAAAGTGAAGATTTCCCTGTCCACCCTGGAGAAAAAGAACAGTCCGGTTGAAAGTTAACTCATGCAGGATCTAGTGGTATCCGATCTCCATGAGAACAGTTTTGTCAGACTTTCTGCCCTTTTTACGAGACCTGAGATTCCGGTTTGTGAGGAAGACATTCCAACCCAGGAGTGTGTGAATCAGTGGCCCCATCTAGATGGTGTTTCCATACCTCACATTGATGCCGAGGTCAGACTCCTGATTGGCAGTGACGTTCTGGAGGCACTCGATTCAGTCAAGATAAGGCACAGTGAAAATGGTGACCCTATGCATCAAGAACGTGCATTGGTTGGGCAGTGAACAGTCCTTTAGGACATTGTCACCATGAGTCTCAGGCTGTAAGCTCGTTTGTCAAAGTTGACCCCCAGCTTCAGCACATGGTAGAAAACTTTTACAATCACAATTTTCCCGACTCCTTCGCTGATGATATGACGGAGATGTTGCAAGATGAACGCTGCTTTATGCAGAGCGCTGAGAAATACAGCTAAAAGACAGGAATTACAATATCACCTTTACTACATC